GGCAGGTATCCCACTGGCAGTGGAAGACAGGATAGGAATGCTTTGCTCCCCCCACCCCTCCCCAAGTGATTGCCAACTTTCTGGGATTAAAATATCAATGCCCATAATACTGCTCCCAGTGCCCTGGGACCCATCACAGCTGGGGAAGGCTGGGTAGCGGTCAGCAAGTTCTATCATGTCCCAGGGGGTGGACCCAGCTCCTGAGGGCTTCTGGGATCTGGCCTGAGCTAAGAGTTGCTGCCAAGAGGAAAAGGACAATGCCATTGACCCAAGAGACTGAAGGTTCAGGACTGGCCCCGGGAAAATAGAAGCAGCATTAAAACTTCACACCACTGCTCCAAACCCGCCTCTTTCTTTGAACTCAGGTCTGCACCTCCAAGGAGGGTGTTTGGACAGCCCATGTATCTCCTTTCCCATCTCCTAGCTCTGGCGGCGGAGGATGCTAATAAAAGAGTGGGCAGCCCACAACAGGGCACCTTGGACCCAGGTTTCTATAGAAACCAAGTCACTCCATCACCTTCCAACACATCTCTCTTCTCTCCTGATAAACTCTATCCCTGGAGATGTGGATGTCTCCAGCATTTAATCTGCCACTGTTCCCGCTTACTCATCAAACAGTGCCTGATAACAGCCTCCAAGTACTGAGCCAAGCACCATGTTAAGACTCATTAACCAACACCCCGGTGCATCCTCACATTGACCCTGTGGGTAAGAATTGCTACCCTATTTTCAGATGAGACAGCCCAGAAAGAGTTAGCCACATGGTTCACAAGTCAGACAGGCCTGGACTGAGTTGGAATCCACCTCTCGCCACAATGGGTGTCTTCCAGCACCAACTCTAAATGTCATTGGCACCAACTGTAAACACTGTTCTTCCTCTAAGCACCCAGAGTGAGGTCAGACCTCACAGTCCACCAGATTGTCAAGTTCACCCAAGACCTCAGATACCAGTTGAAAGTTTGGTGGGTCTTTCTGGCATGGTCAGGTCCACCAAACATGAGTCATTTCATTAGCATAACCTGTCAGGTGCAGTCCAAAGCCTTCCGTGAATAACAGAGGGCTGCACCCATCAATATCACCCATTCCACCTGCTGACTTGCTCCTATATGACTAGCACTCCTCCATTTCCAGTCTCTGTGTTCCCATCCCTTAATCTGGTCATAGTCTTGTGTCTGTTCAGACCAAGAGTATGGCGGAAGGGATACTATATGACTTGAGTTGTGTCTGGGTGCTGTTGAGATTCATGTGACAGGGCAGAACTGACTCAGAGCATTTCCAGGGCTTTATTCTTTTTTTGTGTGTGATTTGGATGAAAATATACAGAGCAAATTCACTTTCCATACAGCCAGTTCACATACACTTTGTCTCATGACACTAACCACAACTTACCACAATGCAACAGCTCCCCTCCCACTTCCCCCAGATAGTTATCTCTTCCTTGTGTCCATCCCTCCAGGCACTCCTGCCCCCTAAGCTGTCTCCCTGTCCATAAGCAGCCCTTTTTTCTCCCATGATTGATCTCTCCAAGTAATATATCTATCTTAGGTAAATGTTCAACTCATATGCCTATCTTTTGTTTGGCTGGAAGCCACAGGTGTGGGTTCAATTCCAGACCTGAAGGGGAGCTAGGGGCCATAGTCTCAGTGGTTCCACTAGGCTCTATCAGACTACCAGGGCTTTAATCTTACGGAAGCAGACTTCTGCATCTTTCTCATGCGGAGCTGCTGGGTGGGTTCAAACCACAAACCTTTTGGTTAGCAACCAAGTGTTTAATGATTGAGCAATCAGGCCTTCTTCTGAGCCTTGGGCATAAAGGCTCACAGCTTCCACCTGGCCATCTCTTCCTTATCCTTGACCATGCCACTGTGCTATGAGGAAGTCAGAACTAGTGCACATGAAGAGAGAGACCACATGAAGAGGTCCACATGAGCAGAGATGGAGTCCCAAGGTGTTAGCCAGCATCAATCACCAGACATGTGATTGAACAAACCTTTGGATGATTCCATGCCCCAGCTCTCAAGTCTTCTGTCTGAGAGTCCGTCATATTTTCAATGCAAAACACACACAACGTATCTTTTGGCCAACTGCACAACCCCCTCTCACGTCTTTTTTTTAAGCACAAGATACACATTATATGTGTGGATATGTTACTTATGTGGGTGTGATACCTATGAAAAAATGTGGTAGGAATCAAGGAACAGATACACCATCTCTGGTCTGAATTCTGGACTACAAAATCTGTGAGCATACTAAGTGCCATTACTTTTGAGTCACTGGGATGGTTTGTTACGCAGCAGTTGTGACTAGAACACCCACCCATCCTCTGTACTCCATTTCATGAAGGAAAAGGATAACTCGGAATGTGTGGCACAAATAATCAACCTTTAATTCCAATAAATAGTTCCCCATCACACCAGACAATATGCTGTGGAAAAAGATACAGATGCATCCAACAGAAAGGGATCTGTCCTAACTATACTAATTCCTTAGCACAAGAGAAATGACTTTGGCTCACATACAAACACAGAGAGATCCCCAGAGCATGAGAAGGAACGGTGGCCATTTTAATCCATAGCATCAGTCCTCGGCAGGTCTTCTGTGGGTCACAAACACCATGAGTCAGTCAAAACCTGTTACTGTTTGCTCTATTATATTCTATTTACTTGATATATACACACACTACTGTTAGTGAGGGTGGGGTCTATGACTGACAGGAGAACACTGGGTGAAATTTTACTGGGTGGGAGAGGCAGAGAGAAGGGAATGTGCACTGGGGTCCCAGCCCACCACCTGGCTCACCAAGAGGACACACAGGCACACACACATGTTCACCTGTGACAGGCACGTGCACAAGAACATATACATACACACGCACAGGGAGTCTTCTGGAATAAGCAAACACAAAAACAAATTCAGTGAAGCCAGGAGAGTTTTTTTTACATTGGGATGTTTTTGTTGCCAGTTAGTGTCTTCAGATAGTCTAATCTATTTATCACATTCACTAAAGAGAAGACAAAGATACTTACACCTTCCGGGAAAAGAATCAAGTTTGAAGAACCCCAGGGAACAGCAGACTGTTTAGAAGTTACCCGAAGGGTATGCGTTTTGGGAGTGGGGTCAGGCCTCCCATGCGCTGGCCAAACTCTTGGGAAACTGGTCCTGATGGAGGTTGGCGCCCTTTGGGAGGCCCTTTCCCTGGCCTGAGGGGTGAAAGTGCATTTTGGGGCAGATGTTAAATGGTGTCACCAAGGGCAGGTACTGCCAATAAGTCTCACAGCAGAACCCACTCAGCTCATGACATACAGACGGGGTTTCCAGGAAGTTCTCAGGCCTTGCTCACTGAGGGTGGCCATATTGTGACCAGTAGTCAGCTTTCTCTCAGTCCTGAGAGGATTTGGTGTGTGTGTGTGTGTCCGTTATGAGTGTGTATGTAGGTGTCAATGTGATAGGCAGGTGACACATTTTGTCTTAAATTTTCAAACGAAATCTGCCTTCTTTGTGGCCCTCAGGTCACCTCCAGCGAGGCGGGAGACACGCGGTCACACTCTGCTCGGGACCTCAGGCTGTGCCACTGTTCCACGGCCGTGCGGTGGGTGTTGAGCATCCGCCGCCAGTGGTTGGACTCAGAGGGACCCGAAGAGTACTGGCCGATGACGATCCTTCCGATGAAGTCATTGCTGCTCTTCATGTTGTGGCCAAACACTGGGGAGCCAGAGGAGCAAGGGGGGTGGGGGTAGGGAGGAGGCAGGTGGAAAGAGAGGAACAGAACAGGGGGCAGGGACAAGACACAGGGCATTAGTCTACATGTTCTTCAACTTCACACTTGAGGTCAGAGTGTTGAGGGCATTTTGTCTATGTCTTTTAACAGTGAGAATTCCCTGGTCTCCTCCTCTCCTCTCTCTCTCTGAGTCTTTCTGCTCCTCACACACAACTTTCTTGCTCACATCTGCTGGGCAGGTTCCTGCCTCACAGCCTTTGCACTGGCTATTCCTTCTGCAGATACTTGCAACAGCGGCAATGCACAACTTTAAACTTGTGTCTCAATACCTCACTACAGTGCCCACATAGTTGCTGTGATCTGCTGTTAGTCAGCCCCCGACTCATGGTGACCCCATGCACAACAGAACGAAACACTGCCCAGTCATGAACTATCCCCATAATTTGTTGCAGATCAAAACATTGTGATCCAGAGAGTATTCACTGGCTGATAATGTATTTTTTTCTTCTAGTATGTCTTAGTCTGGGAGCTCTGGTAGTATAGTGCCTAAAGCATTTGACTGCTAACCAGAAGGCTGGCAGTTCAAACCCACCAGCCCCTCCTCGGAAGGAAGGTTGGGCAATCTACTTCCATAGTGATACTGCCTCGGAAACCCAAGGAGGGGTCGCTATGAGTCAGGTCCAATTCGACAGCACAAAACAACAACATCTCTTAGTCTAGAGGCTCTGCTGAAACCTGTTCAGCATCACAGCAACACAGAAGCCTCCACAGATGGGTGGTGGCTGTGCATGAGGTGCACTGGCTGGGAATTGAACCCAGGTCTCCCGTATGGAAGGTGAGAATCCTACCACTGAACTACCACTGTCCCTACAGTGCCTACCTACCCACTGCCACTGAGGTGATTCCAACTCATAGTGACCCTCACTGGGTTTGCAAGGCTATAAATCTTTATAGCAGTAGATTGCCTCATATCTTCCTCCCATGGAGGAGCCTGGTGGGTTTGAACTGCTGACCTTCTGGTTAGCAGCCAAATGCTTTACCAACTATGCCACCCCAGCTCCTTAGAGTGCCTACAGAACACTATAAATGGATAGTCCTAGAGGAAGACTACAGCGATCCATCACTGCAGCAAGCTGAGTGGTTACTCCAGGGTTTCTCAACCAGGGCACTGTTGACATTTTGGCCTGGGTAATTCTTTGTAGTGGGGGGCTGTCCTGTGCATTACATATGTTCAGCAGCACCTTTCACCTCTACTCACTGGATGCCAGCAGCATACCACCCTGGCCCAGTTCTAACAACCAAAAATGTCTTCAGACTCTGCTTAACTATCTCCTGGGGGGCAAATTTATCCCAGGTGAGAACCAATGGGTTAAGCTATAGGTTCTGGGACAGACTGACTGGTTAGAATCGTGGCTCTGCCATTTGATGAGCTGGTGTAGTAGTGCCTAAGCCATTTGACTGCTAACCAGAAGGCTGGCGGTTCAAACCC